TCATTCATCACGTTTGATCTCGATCGTCCAATCACGCTTAAGGCGAGAACGGATCCAGACTGTCCACACATGCGGGATCGCTTCTGGGTCGTTCGATCGCAGAGTACGCGGATCACCAGCATGGCCTCCGGCGTGACACCGAGTCAACATGCCCTGCCATGCGGCGGGCTCCAATTCGTCGAACTGCTAACTGGTTGGTCCTACGTGGCCATTCTTATTTATATTTTGACCTCCAATTTCTAATTTTTCTTTCAAAAACATCATTCGACCCCAAATTTTCACTTCTTTTTCCAAAAATTATTTTCAATTTCATCCATAACATATTTTTTTTCATAATTCTACATTAAATTAAAATTTATTAATTTCAAAATTAGAGTTTTTATATATTTTAGAATGTTAAAACTAATCATGAGCCAAATTTCAAGCCTAGGTATTACAACTCTTCTCGTCTTAAAATAAATTTGATCCCTTAAATTTATCTCCCTCTCACTCAATCAAACAATTGAGGATATTGGGCTCTGAAATCTAATTCTAGCTCCCATGTGGCATCTCTCTGTGTGTGATTCTGTCATAGGACCTTAACGAAGAGAATTTTTCGATTGCGGAGTACTATGCTCTTTCGGTCTACAATGCCCACTGGTACCTTCTCATAGGAGAGATCCTCCTGGAGTGAAAGGGACTCATGGGCTAAGATGTAAGAGGGGTATGAGTTACACTTGTGTAGCATAAACATATAAAACATATTATGGACTCTGATTAGTTCTGGAGTTAGTGCTAGTATGTAGATGGCGGTACCAATTATGTCTAAGATCTCAAATGGCCCAATAAACTGGGGATTTAGTTTCTCCATCTTGTCAAACCTACTGATTTTTTTAAAATGAGTGACCTTGAGGAACACTCGATTACCTTTCTCAAATTCCAAATCCCTCATCCGGGTGTCTGCATAACTCTTCTATCTGCTATGAGTCATCTAGATGTTCTTCTTGATTTTAACTATTTTGACTGTAGTCTCCTCCAAAAGATCTAGGTCGAATAATTTTCTATCACCCACATCTTTCTAACAGATCAACAACTTGCATTGGCGACCATATAACGCCTCATACGAAACCGTGCTGATACTTGTTTAGTAGCTGTTATTATAGCCGAACTCTATTAAGGGTAAATGATTATCCCAATAGCCCCCGAAGTTAAGAACACAATCTCAAAACATATTCCCCAGTGTACAGATCGCCCTTTCTAATAATCCATCGATTTGAGGGTGGAATGCGGTACTAAGAGAGTTTTGTTCGCATGACTTGTTGAAAATTAGACCAGAACTGAGAAGTGAACCTGGGGTCCCTATCGGATATTATTATCATCGGCACTCCAAATAATTTGATTATCTCCTTGATATACATTCTTACTAGCTTGTTCAATGGGTCGGTCATCTTGATGGCAATAAGTGAGAAAACTTTGTGAGCCGGTCAATAATTACCTAAATAGCATCATGTCCCGAGTATGCCTTAAGCAATCCTATCACGAAATTCATTATGATGTATTTTCACTTCCACTCCAAAATCGGTAATGGTTGAATAAGTAGGTTGTCTGGGTGCTGATGCTCTAACTTGACCTGCTGACGCACTAGACACTTAGAAATTAAGTCGATTACCTCTCTTTTCATCCCGTTTTACAAAATTGGGGTCGCATACTTTGATACATTTTAGTACTTCTAAGATGCATGACAAACTTTGAGATATGAATGTCTATTATGATATCCATTTTCAGTTCACTGTTACATGGAATACACACTCTATCATGAAATCTGAGCAACCCATTGGTAGAGACTCAAAATTCTAAATTTACTTCATATTCTGCATCTTTTCTGAGAGCTCATAAGGTGGAATCGACGGATTGGTCTTCTTTTATTCTCTATACCAACTCAGATTGAACAGTTAGGTGGATCAAACGTGTAACTCTCTTCAAGTCCTGAAGTCGTATATGTTGTGCAGCTCCTATTATCCTGCATTCTGAAACCATTATGTGAGCTAATATACCTGTATTTTTTTTATTGAGTGCGTCGACTACTACATTACCCTTACCCGGGTGATACAAAATGTTGTAATTATAGTTATTAAGGAGTTTTATCCATCATCTCTGATGCATGTTGAGATCATTTTGAGTGAATATGTGTTTCAAGCTTTTATAGTCGATATAAATATGAAAAGTCTCCCCATACAAGTAATGACGCCAAGTCTTCAAGGCGTGGATAATCGCAACAAGTTCTAAGTCGTGGGTAGGGTAGTTTTTCTCATGATTCTTCAACTGCCTGGACCCATAGACTATGATATTCTCATATTGCACCAGAACACAATCCAACCTCCGGTATGAGACATTACTATAAACTGTATATCCACTTGTCCTACTCGGTAAGGCCAACACAGATGCAGTATTCAATTACTTCTTTAGTTCTGAAAATCTCATTTCACAGTTCTTGTTCCACTTAAACTTAACGTTCTTCTTTATGAGTTGAGTCAAATGAGCAGCTAGGTGAAAATCCTTCTACAAATTTGCGGTAATAATCTGTCATTCCTAGAAAGTTACGAATCTCCTTAACCGAGGTCAATTTCTCTCAACTAAGCACTGTCTCAACTTTTTCAGGTTTCACTGACACTTCATCCCTTAATAAGATGTGCCTTAAGAAGGAAGTCTGCTCCAAGAAGAACTCACACTTACTCAACTTTGCATACCACTTTTTTTCTCTAAATACCTGCAGAATCTAACTCAAATGGTGGACATGTACCTCTTTACTTTTTGAATATAACAGGATATCATCGATATATACCACGATGAACTGATCCAGAAATTGTCTGAAAATCCTATTCATCAAAACTATAAAGATGACTAGAGCATTGCTTGGTCAAATAGTATGACTAGGAACTCATAGTGTCTGTACCTAGTTCGAAAAACTGTTTGGGAATGTCTTCTATCTTAATCTTTACCTA